AGTGAGGTTGTTTCTAACATTCCCGCGGGGTAAGCTAAAAAGTTACATAAGCTAAACAAAACGGGGAACACTGCTATAACGTTATACAGAAAAATATTATGCAGAAGCCTTAAATTCTTCTGACGGCTGAAGACTAATGTGATGGCAAAACCAAGAGAAAGTTAGTGAAGGCAGCTGTTGTCCTTTTCAATTTGGGACAGTCCATGCTCTCTATGTTGGTGTATTAGTTAATAACATTTGGTAGTTGCCATAGTTATTCTGATTATTTTTTTTTTTAATTGGACTCTATACCTACAGTTTTTTTGCCACTTTCTGTTTCCATTATGCCCACAACTGAGTGAGTCAGTGGCAGCTTCTTCCTTCTGCAGTGCCTTTGAAGTCCCATTACATTTGTGCGCCGTGTCCTTTATGCAGTAATTCCAGTTCAAGATTTTTTTTGAGGGTTCCTGCTAAAAGCTGACAACGTGCATGTACCACCTACAAGGGCGGCTGACCAGTTTTGGAAGCCCGTCAGGAGCTGCCAGCAGGTTCCAGTAGCCTGTCGGAGACCCTGTGATTGAGGAGGTGGAAACTTCCTCAAAAGAGATTAAGGATTCAATAGATCTCATTATATTACAACTTCCACGAGAGTAGACCACCATTTTCAATTCAGATTCTGTCTACTGAAACATTTACTTCTTCCAGTCTAGAAAACCTCCTTTGGCAATTTCCTGTGCTCATTAGGTTTTGGAGACTTGTATACATGTCCCTAGTCATTCAATTACTTGAGGCCACATGATGAATACAAGACTGAATGGCTGTCAAATTTCCTGTCTCCACATGAAATCTCTATCTGGTAGTTCAAATACCATTTGCAGGCATGCTGGCTTAGTTCTGGAAATCGAGGTTGCAGTCTTTGTAACTGTAGCATCCCTTAGAAAAACAGGTTGAGTGTTTCTTGTATCAAACAACCTGTCTGTCCTGTCCCCGCCATTTGTAACATTGCTAGGTTCACACTACTTATGTTTTCACCTGTTTTAAATCAGTCAAAAGTCTTCAGCCTTCTTTTTATATGTGAAGAAAACAAATTTATATTCATTAAAGTGCCAAAAAAATATTAAGTGTCTTGTAAAATAACCTTTCAGAAATAACTATTATGCAGTTTATTGAGGTTTATTGGACGGGGAGTCAAAGGTAGAACCAAGTCTTGATGTGTGCTGTCTCCAAATGCATGATGCTTGCCATAGAGACCAATTTGAATCCGTTTTCCTACCTCATCTTTTGTAGAAAAAGGAACTTGACTAAAATAAAACATATGCGTGGCTAATGGAGTCGCTTCCATACAAAAGCAATAGAGGATGCTAGCAAGAAGCTACTAAAGCTAAAATTGTGTGGAGGACTGTTCATCTTGGCACTCTTCGACTGCCTCCAACTCTGCTGTTGTATCTGACTGCATCTGTCCATCGTTAGTGGTCCTCCTGTGTTGACAACTCAGGTGATCGGGAACAAGATTTATCCCCTCATCCCTTGGTACGGGGCCTCTCTTATTTGTGGGATATGCAGAAAAATGGTTCCCTTGGGGAGCTGTAATTCTAGGATTTTGCAGTTTTGGAAGTTGTTCCCTGGAGGAGGCTTTTGCCCTATTCCTGGCAATTTAAAACCGGGGGGGGGGGGGAGGTTGGCACCCCAGTAAGTTCTGTCACCTTAATGAGCTTGGCGGCAAAGCAAACTGGAACTGCATCTGGCTTGGTGGATGCGCTTGTACGGTGTGCAGGAGCCATCGGAGGGTGGGGAGGCATTGCCGTTTCTCTTACAGACATATAGTTTGTGTTTGTTTGTGTGGCTTGTTTTTTTTTTTAATATCTGTTTTTCAACCGGAAAGCCCAAATATTATATTTACACGATCAAAACCAGAAGTATTTGAAGCGCATTGATACCTTTCGAGGTGCTCCTCTCCAGAGCCGGGGCAGGCCTGCGAGGAGCGGGCCGGGCCCCGTGAGGCGCGGAACGGGGCAGAGGGCCGAGCCCCGGTGAGGCGCGGGGAGCCCGCCGCCTCCCCCCTCCCCCGCCGCCGCTAGGGGTCAGGCGCGGCGCGGCGGCGGAGCGGGCGCGGGCCCGGTGGAAAGTGCGCGGCGTGTGAGAGGCCTGCGCGGCACTCGGTGTTTCCACACGGCGGGTGCCAGCAGAACCCGATACAGTGTGATATATAGAAGCAAGGTACAACTGGAATAATGAAATTTCAAAAATAAGCCCTTTTTAGAGGCTGGTTGTAACAGTCCTGCTGGGTATTGTAAATGCCTCAGGTGCACTTGATACTGCTGTTACGTTCCTGGCGTTGGCTTCTAATTTTTATGGAAAGATGGATTGAACTTCAATTTAAGAATATTCGGTAATCCCTCTCAGGACATACTGTAACAGCTGGTATTTCTGTGTTGCAGCAAATCGATTCCATACAGCAGTCAGCAATGCCTATGGCTGTGCTCCCGCAAAAACTTCCAAAGCATTTTAAATAAAGCGAGCCAAAGAAAATAACATCATCACTGCAAAAATGTAGCTTAATTTGCAAGTTAGAAAAAAAATAAAAAAATCCCTGTTCCATTCCAGCAAAATATTAAGCATTTTACTGGTAAGGATTTCATCAGGTCATTTATTTTTCATTAATATATATTTAGGATCTAGGAGGAATAACTTTATGCCGTATATAAGTTTCTTAAATAATAACGAGCTTGAATTTTTTTAATATTGAATGATTTACTGTGAAATAAAGAAAAATAAAGAAACTGATCGAGTTTAAATACATGACATGTATGTAGATCAACAAGACGTTCCACGTTTTGCAGTGAATTTTTTAAGGAACGTGAATTTCTAATTAATAATAATGCATCTTTAATGAGAATGCCTTACATGTTTGGGTTAGGGTTTTTTTAATAGACAAAAATACTTTAAGCTGCATATAAATCAAAGATGTCCCATTAATAGTAAATCATTTTGGTTTAACCAGTTTTTTTACACGTATGAAAACTAAAAGTGCCTCCATCCTTCATACGGCTGTAGTTGTATGCTCACACTAGGGACTGTAAGTGAGCTTAGAACATGACTTCTCCTTTATGGCGCTTGTATGTGTTAAAAAGAAAACAAGCAGAATTAATGCAAAGTGAATATGTTTCTACTTAATTGGTACAACGTGTCCTTGGCTACGATGTCTTTTTTTTTTTTTTTTCTTTTAAACTGTGCGCTGGCTAGCTTTGCATATAGATGTTTTTACAACTTTGTGATCATAAGATGAGCTTTCACTCTGAAATATTTAACTTCCTTATCTCTGTTTTAAATTTTAAGTTAATAGACTTAGTGCAGATTTGATGGATGTCAAAATTTTTTTTTGGAAGCCAATGCTTTTTTGGTGAAAACTCACTTTTTTTTTTTTTTTGCAAACCTTTATAACTAAAAAAAAGCACCTCAAAGCCCTAATAAAACAATCTTAATAAATAAGTTTTGTTTGATCCATTTCATCATGGAAGAAGTTATCCAGGGCTGTAACTTTTACTGTATTTGCTGCCTTAAAAAAACCCATACTCACTGGAGTTTGAAAGCTGATACACAAAATCTTTCTTTGGGTAAACACTTAAGGGAGGAAAAAAAAAAGAACTTTTTAAAGTTGCCAGACTATTTGAACTATAGGTTTATGCATAGCGACGAGTTAACAAGTAGCTTATATCTAATAATTGATTTAAAACTTACTAAACAAAATCTTGGCCCTTAATATGTTGCAATACTTTTAGCAATGTGGGGATTTTTTTTTTTTTGGTGAAAAATAAAATTTTGAACAGCATACAGTGTTTACAGCACCTGTATGTTACTCTTCCACAAGACTGTTGCCAAGGACAAATGTGTCCAAAATATGCACTTTCAGAGCCAAGGTGACTTCAAAAGTCATTCTGTTTATTATGAATGTGTTTAAAAAAAAACCAAAAAACCAACACAAAACAAACCAGCAACAGCAGCAGCAAAATGCTCTTCTATTTGTTTATTTTCTTATGCTAAAGCAGAACTATGCTGCTTTCTTTCTTCAAGGATCCTTTTTTGTTCACTGAAAACTGGAGAAAACCCGTTTTCTGTTAGCTTCTGCTTCTCCCTCTCCCTTCTTTCTCCCTGCAAACACATCAGACCCCTGCCCTGCTATTGGTAAACATTTCCAGTCTTAACTCTGAATTTTTCACAAGTTTGTGTTCCAGTTTCATATTTTAACATACTTGAATTTAAATACGTTCCCTTATATTTGAAATTGGTTTTTACTTTTGTTATATCTGCTCTGAATTTTCCTCAATAACTGGTTAAAAGAAAGACTTAAAATTTAGTATCAATAGGCCTGTGCAATAACTAAAAAAAGTCTTAAAAAAATCCTGACTTTGTAGTAATGAATTACAGAAAAATTCCTTGCGTGGTGTGTATGATAATGGCTCCATCAACCCCACGAATCAAACTGCTATTTACCTTAGAGAAGCATTTGCCCCACTCCTGCTTTTTACAACTTCAGTTAAAATTTAGATTGTATTTCCAGATTACAAATCAAAATTGTATGTCAGATCTTAAATGAACTGAAAACAATTGAAAGGAGGTTAAGTAGAAACACTGAATAAATTACCATGCTAGTAAGCAATATTTTTTTCTCAGATAAGTAGTAGCAAAATTTGAGTGACTTAAATTGTTCATTGTTTTAATAAAATAACCCTAGACTTTATTTCCAAAATACCTGACACACTTAAAGAGTATAATTTACATGGGAGAAATGTGTTAAATTATTTTTACAACAGAATGGGATTATAGGCTAGACTGAAGAAAACAAAACTTGTTTCACCTGGGGAAAAAAAAATATCTTAACAGTCATAAATAAATGCAAAGCACTTTGTTTTGAGAGTCTTAAACCAAAAGTTTCTTTTGTGATAATCATTGGATTTGGTTAGCTGCAGTAATTTACAGTTTAACAATGTTCTTATTTGTAAAATTCTGTTTCTGTTCTTTCTAGGAGAAAGTGGGAGATTGCATAAATCTTTGTAGACAACTTGGCTGCAAGCAGTTAAACTGAAATTAACTTCTGCCTTCTGGCTGCAGAGCACTAGTCTGACGTTCCTGCGTGATACTCTGCAGACTAAATCATGCCAGCGTTATCAGCTGGATCTGGAAGTGACACAGGTACGCAAGCCAAGGAGGGCTGCATGTTTCCTCCAGATCTTATTTGTTAAGTCTACGGTCTCTATTTCAAGAAATCATCAAATAAGATAATTAATTATGGTCTCAACAGATGCTTAATTAAACACTTTAAACATAACCTTTTCTCCTTGAAGTTTAGATACATGAAACACTACATGTAAAATAAATTAATTTTTAAAAGTCCTACCACCGTCTTCTTCCCTTCCATCCCCAACCCCCCAAAGAGAACAACTCCAAACAGGTACTATATATGGATCCGAAGAATTTGGATTCACCTCTGAGCATGGTTCCTACAATGTTAACTTGAAAAAGGAGGAGGGAGAAAAAAGATGATATCAAAAAGATGATATCATACATGCCTTAATATTTGCAGCAGTCTAGACTATCCCCTCTGTGAGTTACAGTTATCAGTGGAGTTATTTCTGAACACAGACTATTTAGTTTTGACATGTCTTTAACAAATTAGGAGAAGAAAAATACTGTCTCAAGTTCTCTTCCTTCCCTTGCCTTCTGCGTTAGAGTCCAATTCCTATCACTGACTGCAGGCAGTGGGAATGCAGATATGTAGCTTTCTATAGTTTTTACCTTCTTTGTCACAATATTAGGCTATATTGAAAGGTTAAATCTCATGTTGCTGTTATGCATACATTCTCTTTGTCTGACAATATTTTTCTCCCTGTTTCAGGGACAACTAAAGTTAGTATTTTTGCTCGAGGGTGTTTGGTAAATAGATGATTCGGCTGAGGTTACAGTACAAAGATCTCTGCTTTCCGCCCCAGTGCTTGTTACTCTAGATCACGTAGTATTATGCACAAGAAGTAACAGCAGGATTTGAAAACGAAGAGGGAGATTTCAAGTCAAGAATCCAAAAAATATGTATATAAGGAACTGCATTTGATTCTTAATTTAAATAGACTGTACAGTGCAGTGGTTTTTTTGTGGTTTTTTTGTTTGTTTGTTTGTTTTTTTCCCCCCACACCTCAGGTCCATAGAAAAATTCCTCTTAGATGCAAAGATTAATCTTTAGAATTGGAGGGGGGGGGAGTGTTTACTTCTTTGTTTATTTATTACCATGGGGAGGGAGGGTTGTGTTTGTTTTTAATTGCTTTTTTTTGTCTCCCTGTTCCTGTGTTTAAGGGATTTGACTATCAACTTGCCAAACCCTACCTCTACATAACTTTCTTTTCTCCTCCTTCCCCCATGGAATTAAGTGCAGTTGAAGCTGTTTAGTATGCTAAAGCTGAATTTTGGAAGATTTGTCAGGGTCTTCTCTGGGCTGATTTTCCACTCTGGATCTTTTTCTTTATCACGCGACCTTTTGTGTTCTTCTAAAACCCACCTTAATTTTTTTTTTTAATTATTATTACTTGGCCAAATGCTTTCTGACATTTCAGAAGTCTCAACAACATGTTGAGATGAACAACAGGGGTGTGTGTGATGACTAGTGCCTGATGCTAACAATTTTGCTTGTTTTACTGTTTAAAGAATGTTAATATGTCCAAAAGTAATAGTGATGGACATATTCTCTGAATAAAGAAAGAAAAGGTCTCCAAAAACTGGGAAATTTTTTTCATAATTTGAAAACTTGTGTGTGTTAAAATGTCTCTAAAAACATGTTTTACTGTGCTATTTAATGCATATGATTCTCCAAATACACCTTTAATAATTATGGTGTGTGGTAAAACTCAACTATCTCCATTCTCCCAGGAAATCTGTAGTACAATATGATATGCACCATTGATGTCTTGCTGTTAAATAATACTGCTTGTTAAACACAATTTGTTTTTTGCTGCAAGTTGTAAATTAGTTCTTTAAATAAAAAATTGCATTTGGAGGGAAGAGAGAATTGTTTTCTTCCAGTTTATGGTATTTCCTGTTGGGGATGATAGGTATTTAAGCATTTTTTTGAATACTTATATCAAACTGTGCTTTCTGTCCTGGTTATAACACAGGTGGTTTCTAATCAGAGCTCTGTTTTTCTGCCATTACTCTCACTCTTAGATTTTAAAAAAGAGAAACACAAAAAAAATTTGGATTTTCTCACCTCTGTTGTTACTTTGTGGGTAGACTAGTTTTCCTCTCACCCTGCCACCATAAACTGGTGTAATGAGTTGAAACTGCTCTAGTCCCTGAGAGGACTATCTGGGACACTGTGGAGTTAGCAAGTCACTTAGTGGGGACGTAACAAAACTGCACCTGTAGGGTAGGGATGCAACTTTGTTCAGTCTGTCTGCTAAGACTGTTTTATTAACGCATTCAAACAAAACCTCAACCTAGCTTATTTTGTAGCTGTTATATCCTGGTGAAGTAAAAGTAAACCTGGATTTACAACTGAGTGAAAGAATTCATTGAGGACCAGTAAATAGAAATGCATCATCTGTGAATATCAGAATGTTGCTGAGTCTCGGACTATTGGAAACTCGGACACTAGTATGGAAGCATTGATGATTTTTTTTTTTTTTTATACTGTAGTCTTAGGCATCAGACCACTGTCAAAAGAAGGATAACGTTCGTGATGGGCCACGTTTGATCAGACTAAATGTTTACCTATTTGTGTTAATTTTACATTACTTTTACCTTGTCAACAGACTTTATAAGGGATGTCACCATGTCCTTGCAATTGCTTTCTTCATATTCTTATACCATATTTTAACCTATATGTTCTTGTGAACACAGACCATGCCTCTTAAATCTGTTTTGAGAGGCATTTAGGAGACTTAAAACTATGATAACTCAAGAGCATGGCTACATTATTTGCAATCTTTTGTTCAAAACATTTGTTTTAGTTAATTTAGATTCATCAAGTGACTTTGAAATTAATCTTGTACCTTACTAGTCTGATCTGGTTTCTTAACTTTAAAGCAGAGGAGAAGGGCTTATGTGTACACATGATTCTTTCTCTTCCACTCTCCATTAGCCATGTAGAAACCCTATTTTTGTATAATACTAATAAGTATTTTTTGTTTATAACGTGTGCGTGATCCTGCTCCTCCCTTAAGGTTTATAATCCTGTCAGTGTGAGGTCAAAGTTATCTGAAAGCCATCTTGAGCGGAAGGCTGAGCTCCTGCCTGGGGCTGCATTTGAAGCTTTAAATATTTTTTGTGTTGCAAAAGTCTGCTTGAACTCCGTGTGCAAGCCCATCAAACAGAGTTTGAAGACTGAGCAAGAAAACTTGCACTTTTGCAGGTAAAGCAAGTCTGCAAGATCTGGGATTCGCTTACCTGATATATTTAGGAAGATTTAAGTTTACAGTCCTGGCTTCACCGTAGTCAATGGCAGCTTCGTTGCTGACTTTGGTGGAGCCAAGATGACATCATTATACTTTAAGTGTTGTTTTAGCGTGAAAAACATCGTAAAATTGTTACAGATTTCTTTCCTCTCAACCCTGTATTAAGCTTGCTCAGCTGACGAGTTTAAAAATGCTTTTCTGTTTGTCCTTAAAAACTAGCGCACAAATGTGCAAAGCAGACTTTGTGTTTTTGATTCATGTATTGTCAGCGGGAAAATCACATTTATAGGCCAAGTTTGGCCACCAAGTAAAACTGTGTGCATTTGCTTAAATATAATGAAAGTCAGAAGCAGTTCTTGAATTTGAATATTGTAAATTATAAAAAGAAAAAACGTGCAGGACTTACATTTGTTGCTTCTTGAGTACGTATAGGAGCTAATGCTGTGCCAGATAGTGGATATTTTTTAGTATTACAAGCCTGTAAAACAGAATACATGTTAGTTTTTTGAATTAAAAAAAAAGCCCAACACATTTGTTAGTAACCATATTGTAAGTTCATGTGTCCTTTAAAATATTCCCAGTTTTGGTGTTTTCTTCTCTGTTTTGTAATAATACAAAATAAAGCTATGAAATCTGTTCTAAATGTTGGGTATTTTTCCAAATGGCATTTTTAGTAGCGTATTCTGTGATTCTTTAAAAATTATCTCTACCTCTGAAGCTGCATGCTGTTGATGTGGATATACTGAATACTGGTAGAAATATCTTGCTAGAATATTATGTTTATATGATAGCTTCCTAGTGCATATTTATTTACCTCCCAGTGAAGTGAGATCACTGCAAGCCATGCAAAGTTCTAAGACAATTTTGCAAGCATCTGAACACCGAAAGATGCTATCCTTGCTTTTGCGCTTTCATATAGATGTCTTCCTTTTAGTTACTACTAATGCATTTTAATCAGCTTGCCAGTTTTAACATCATCTTTTCTAAGCATGCTTGATAATGAAAAAGATAAAAAGATGGAGAGGAAAAAAAGAAACAGTAATAACATGAAGAAAAAGCTGAGTAGTTGGCTGAGCTGTGAGGGGGACATCAGAAACATTTGTAGAGGCAGAAAGACAAATTAGGCTAAAGCAGCTAAATGTTTTAGCCTCCTAAACCTGTTTTCAGAATGAGAAGGAAGATAGAAACCCGGGAGTTCTATTTTTACAGACTGTTTAAAAAATGTAGTAACATAAAATGGTGGCCAAAGATCTGGGTTCATTGTTATGAGATGAAGAGAAAGGGAATTTAGGACAGTGAGAAGGAAAGATTTCTGGGAGTAGCTCTTCCGTCGGAGGCTGCCAGGGCGGAGGCTTGCAGGGCAATTGAATGCTGCTCCAAACTGCCTCTGCTTCCCCGCTGACGTGCCGCAGTGGAAACGGAGCGGAGGGAAAGCCTCTGCTCGCCTGCTTCACACCATGGCTTACGGCTTAGGTATAGGTGTGCCGCCGCAAGGGTAGTGTCTAAGGGTAGTGCAGCCTTTGGCTGCATCATGATTTCAAGTCTACATAAATTTCTCACTGTGCTGAAATGCACAGATATGGCTAGATTTTAATGAAAACTGATACACTAGCAGAAGCAAAATTTACGCTGAATTAATAAATAGAGCCAATATTTTACCGTGCGTTCTTGAATTCTCCCCATCTCCAGCTGCCAGAGGCATTAAATGGCTTGTAGGCTAACGTTAATATGAAAGATTTGGGAAAGTATGAG